CCCCCCCCCAAATAAAAAACAAACACAAAAAACAACAACCTGCACAACTTGTTTTGTAAAAATATCTTCCTCCATACTGAAGTTTTGCTTTTCAGATTTGAACATAATATTTGGAAGCTAAAAGGAATTTGTCTGATATTAATTTTAGATAAGTCCGTTGAATGGTTTTTCTCTGTATGGCGTATAAAAACCCAACAACAACCCGTTTTCAACCTTGTCCCCATTTTCGTAGCATGACGCACCAGTTTGCATTAGGCCTTCCACTAAAAGTTGCAATAATGGCGCCATGTATATTGCAAGCTACAGCTGTCTAACTTCCAACAAGTCAAGAGTACAATATGTAGTCTACAGATATTATTCCCAAATTTCGTTTGCCTGCTGAGATCATGATTAAGCTTAGCAAAGATATTGCACCCTCCTACGGTAAGATACGAGGTCTGTCTCAGAATAAAGTTTCCCTCCTCCATAAAATCAAAAGTAAGCAACCAACAGTCACTAAATTTTTTGAAGTCATAACATCATGTCTAAGAAACATCAACACCAAATTGCAAGTGCATTGGTGAACCGGTCATAGAGCAGTGACGTGTCAAGTGTGATGTTCTTGTGTACTTTGTCCAAGGCAAATTTGAGGAAAATGTCTGAGCAAAACATTGGTGCAACCGTCTCATGCTATGATGTCCGAGTTGTGATCAAATGTTCAACTCTTCTCGGCAAGTCAGCAGTAGAAACCCACGGTGATCTATACAAAGTAATAGGGAATAATGCCCCATCAAATCAGACAGTAAGGAAGGTTGAAGGTGGGAGGTCTGTCATGAAAGATGAAGTGCACACAGAAAACACATGGGGAGAAAGGTGATGCACATTGGGTTTTTTTTCAACATGACTGGCATCACAGTGAGCTGGCTAGTCCCACCTGGCGTAACTGTCAATGGTGACTACTACAGGTTCGTCCTCAAAGACAAGCTGAGACCTGCGATCCCAGAAAGAAAAGACCCGCTTTGCTTGAAGACGGCGTCATCCTGCATCATGACAACGTGCCTGTTCACAAGTCCAGAGTTGTGCACGAGCTTCTTGAGGGCTACTTGTGGGAATCTGTCCTCAGAGAAAGTTGCATTTGAAAATAGCAAAAGTTGCAAAAAGTTGCAAGAAAAATTAGCAAAAGTTGCAAGAAAAGTTGCAAGACATGTATAGCTAAAACAATGCAACGGAACTATTGGAATACATTGTTGCTATGCTCATTGCAAATCAAAAGTAAGCAATATGAGTTTTGTTGAATCAAAATCAGAAGTTAAATGTGAATGTCTACCCAAAAAACCCAACAAAACTGCATGGAGGTAACATGGTGTACAAAAACAGTGTGTCCCTGACACATGCGTCAGGTCCTTAAACTCTCGCTGACGTGGGGCAAGTGTGACCACTGTGGTTTTGGGGCCGTCCAAATATAATCTTACACTTTGTTTGGGACTTTTTGCCCCCCCCTCCCCTACACTTAAAAAAAACTCTTCCCCCCCCCCTCCCCTCCTCAAATCCCATAATATTACGTTATTCGTTTATAATAATAATATGACATTTGTATTGCGCAAATCCGGGTTACAATCATTCTTCTATGCGCTTTACTTTTAAATTATTAATTATAGTATTCATGAAAAACATGCATACACACATGTGACATAAAAATTAAATACGGTACAAGCGGAACTTTTTCAGAAAAACTTACGGTGTCATTTTACCACTTTAACCGCACCGGTGTAATCAAAATTAGACTAGACCTACATGTCATGTTGCCCAGATATCTACCAGTGTATAAAGTGCGAGATGACATTATATTTATATTGTGCTTGCCGCTCGAGGTTCACTGTATCGTCACAATGCAGTGCTTACCGCTCGAACTTATTCTAAGTGAATAGTGTAGTTTAAGTTACTCTCTTTTTATGCTATTGAAAAAAAGATATGTTGTCATAAGTTATATTTTCCTATATTATTTCTTTCACCTTACAAAAGTGTAATAAAGTGTAATCTTACATTGGTTCAACCCCCCCCCCCCCCCCCCCCCCCCCCCCTCTTTCTTACACTTTACTTTTACAGGAGTCAAAGATTCCCCCCCCCCCCTTTTTTTCCCCAGGCGTAATTAAGATGATATTATTTGAACGTCCCCTTTAGGCGTTTTCTGGATGAATCTATCCTTGTCTAGATTTACCCTCCTTGCCTAAGACTTAAAGTTTTTCACACATTTTTATACTAGATCTAGCTCTATCTAGATCTACTATCTGGTGCTACGGAACCAAGCAAGCTAAGTAATCAGACGATTGATTTACTCTAGATCTAGATCTAGCTAGACTAGAAGATGATTCAGTCCAAACAAGACTATTGGGTCGATTTGCTCGCCAGATTGATGGTGCAAAGCGGCTATTGTGGCACGAGTTGATCGCGCCCGACTCGTTGTTTCAAAACAAACACGTTTTCAGGCGACGAGTCGGGCGATCATCCCGACCCGACCTGACCCGGTCCGGGTCACAGGGCGGCGGCGGGCGCCGGGCACCCCGTAGTGCAAAGGAGCGAATTGTCCCCCTTGGCGTAGTTATTTTAGTCGTGGAAGAAAATTTCGGTGTTTTTAATGAACTTTTATAATTATTTTTTTCCAAATTTTGCGGGAAATTGGCTAAAATTCGCGAATTCACGAAAATGATAAAAGTTGCGCAAAAGTTGCGCTGAAGGCCAGGAGATTAAAAGTAATTGAGGATGCCCTTTGGGTGGCACCGCACGCCTGATAGGAGCCCTCTCTCGCGGCGGAAC